TTAAATAACCACGAAAGTAAATATTCGACAAACGAACTTGACTTGTTGGCAGTAGTCTGGGCTACAGAACATTTTAAAAATTACTTGTATGGTGCTGAATTTGAAATTGTGACGGACCATAAGGCATTATTATCAGCCTTAAATGCAAACCAGAGCAACAAAACTATGCATAGCAGATATCCCGTTGGGTAAATCGACTGTTACCGTTTAACTTCAAGATCAAGCACATTCCGGGAAAAGAAATGGGATTTACAGATTTATTGTCGAGACTACCTTCAGGAAAAGCACTCCCTACATCACACTACAATAGCGAATTTGTAGTGGCTACAATACAAAAGATTGTAGAAAACCTCTCTGTAAATAACGATTGTAAAAAGAATAATTGTAAAAAGAACGAAGTGTATAATCCATTGGATGTAAATACGATTAGTAACTTGGATTGTAATAATCCAATGGGTGGAAAGAAAGATTTATCGCAAAGCATCCAACGGTCGTTCTTCTCGAATATTCTGAATTACGTAAACGACACTATCAGAATTTGTAATTCCAATCACTCGCGTTCAGAGTCTTGCACAAGCGGTTGTATTCCATTAAATTTATCAAAATTTGATTTCAATTATTTTTACTTATCAGACAAAACTTTTTTATTCTTTCTTGCCTAATCAGTATTATTAATCAATCAGTCATTAAATTCAGATCAAAACAAACAGTTACAGGAATTTATTACATCGGTCAAATTGTTAAAAATTTCCCTCAGGGCAGAAAAGAAAGGAATCTTCTTGAATTTCAATAACGACATAATGTCAGACCTACACAAGAAATTATTGGCCAAGTACATAGGAGATCTCAGATTGCCTGACAACCCGTTATCACTCTCAGATCATTGCTCGAATAAGTTGATTAAACTCATGACGTTCGAAGATAAAATCCTCAAGGAGGTAAAGAAGGCGGTACAGGAAGGCAAACCATTGGACAAATTCGGAGCCTACTTAAAGAACTTCCAGAGGGATATCCACGTGAAAGAAGGACTGTTATTCAACGATAACAAACTGATAGTGCCGGCTGCATTACGATCACCATTCCTGTCACTCCTTCATGAGACTCATCCAGGGCAGTTCGGGATGAAAGCCCTGGCAGAAAACATCTGGTGGCCACACCTATACAGAGAGATATAACATCATGGAAAGAATTGCACTCAGTGTATAATGGCCGGTAAGAACCTAAAAGTGTTACTAGGGACGAACAAGACTGAGAAATTACCGATTCTGACCGAACCAAATGAAGAAGTAGATTTAGACTTTGCCGGCCCATTGGACAAGAGTTGGGGTAACGCAAAATACCTTTTGTTATGCATTGATCGCTTTTCAAAGTTTCCGTCTGCGAAGGTAGTAAACAACACCTCGACTTCTTCAATTTTAACCTTCATGACAGATTACTGCCATCTTCACGGATTTCCAAAGTCCATTAGAGCTGACCATGGGTCATGTTTTACTTCGTTTGATTTTAGAAACTTCTGTGAGAAGAACAACATTAATTTAATTCTATGTACGGTTGGTGATCATAGATCCAATGGAGTAGTAGAGAGACTAATTTACACTGTCAAAGCTAAGCTTCTGGCAATGTCGTTCAACGATCCAAAACCATCTTTAAATACGGCTATTGATAAAATTATTTGGAACATACGCTCGACGAAACAATCATCCATTGGATGCTCTCCTTTCTCAAAACATTTTAATAGATCTCCCAATACGTTCTGGAAATCTTTGGTCTCTCACGCAATTAGTTTAGATAAGGGGAAATCAATCTTAACGAAGGACAGAGCACAAGACTGGGGGGCTGATGACGCGTTCGAAGATGGCTATCTGGAAGACAGAGAAATTGATGAAAGAGGGTATGAGAGCGACCCTGCTGACAAAGTAGATAGAAATCTCCAGCGAGCCCCACTGTCAAATCCTTTCAGCCGAGGAGGTAACTGGTTTAGGAAAACAGTTAACAGGAGGGAAGGAGAACCTTATTTTAAACCACTGGGGAGTAAACCTTTGTCAGACACGAAACATACGGTCACATTAGATAACGGACATGTGATAAGAAAATCTGACTTAGCTTTTAACAAAACCCAACCAGCAGCTCCTAAGACATTTTCGGCAAGATCGAATTTGCTAATTAATAGTAATGATTTAGCAGGCAAGCGAAAAAGAAACTCCCCTTCCAAGAGACGAGACTCAAATATAGGAGGCCCTTCGATGAGTTACACACCAACGGGTGGAAATTCTAGCAAAAAGAGGAGAACAATCATCACGAGCTCGAAAGGTTCAAAATTCGACTTTAATAACCTAGATTCGTCGTTAGAGTTAGAACTTTGGGATAAAGTCATTGACGACTACTTGGGTACGGAAGCGGAAACTGTATGTAAAACACCGACTGTTAACCTTCATAGTGATTTAGATCAACCAAGGAGTACCGTAACAAGCCAGACAAATACGCAGACAACGGTCACTTTACCAACGGGCACAAGTGACGACCCAATTCGAGTGGATAGCTCTCCGGAGAAGACAGTGGAGACACCAAAGACCCCGATACCCGCAAAACTTCGTACAAGAAGAAATCCAGGCCCCCCGAAATTCTATGGCGATAGACGGTTTATCGACCAAGTGACGCTCGGAACGGAGACCATTAGTGCAGTAGACTCCGATGATGAACCGCTTATTACGTTTTCCGGTGCAAAGAGTCCAAAACAAAATTTTTCATACTGTACGACGTCCCCCTCGGATTATCTTACACCCATTGATGAGATACCACGTCATACAATATTGGTCGCTGAAACCACGCAAGACCAACTCTCAACACCTTCCTCTCAGGCGACAAGGATCGCATGGGCATCGCCACCATTGGTAGAAGTTACCAGTAATACCCAGGATGACGACGGCAGTGACATATCCTCGGGTATCGATACCGATGTAAGAAGAGAGGCAGATAATTTCCATACTAGATACAACTCTACGGTCACAAACTCTGAAAACTTTTAAACTATGTTAACATGATATGTTACGTTTTTGATTTAGCTTTTATCCATTGGACACCCAAAACTTTTTTTTTTATTATTTTACCTAGTTAGTGAGTTAGTTAGTTTGCTTTAATTGTACAAATGCTACATAACCCCAATTGTACATATCATTTTGTACATTCAGTGTTGATATCTGTGTAAACCTGTAAGTACCCTGTATATATATTACCATATAATCACCTCCATTGTAATTTGTACTCTCTGTAAAAATCCATTGGTGCTAAATGCGGTTACGTTTTGTTTCTTCTTTGGCCCTGGTGGAGCGAGGGGAGATGGAGTATATGTGTGATATTGGCTACATCGTTGAGCGGGCAGATATTAATTTTTGTGCAGTGGGGAATGTTGTGATTCAGTATTTTTAGTATGTTATAACCTTGACCTCTATTATCTAATTACGTACCAGCCAATGTTAACTCTACGAAGTCCAGTGGACTTCGGTTCACTAGTTGCTCTTTTTAGACTACAGTCAGTTTTAATTCAACCAATACTTTTATTCTCTTGTAACATTAGTTAGATACAATAGTTACCAGTGGTACAACTTAACTCTTTATTAATTCCCTATGTTAATACATAGGGAGAGGACCGGATACTCTATAGCCTATGTTAATACATGGGGGTCATCTCCCCCCGGACGATTTTGCCCAGTCATATACTACTGTCTGATAAAGTTGAAACTTGATAAAATTATGATTGCTGTAATTATCCTAAAAGCCGCGATTTATGCTTCTCAGAATATCCAGGATTCAAAATGTGGCCACCTTTACAATTGGTGGTTGTGGAATTATCTAAGACCAGAACTTGTAGTAGGAATACTTTTGTTTCGAGTATGCTGGTTGAACTTTTTACTGAAACAATTTCACAAAAAAAAAGATTAAATATTCAAACTCTGTACATGCTTTTTTACATATACTGCAAACGCCTTCCGAAACTATTTTACAAGTTGTCTTCATCATCTTGTGACAACTTTTCAACATCATCTCCAATAACACTTTTATCGCTCAAGTTTTCCAGTTCCTGTTCTATATCCTCTAAATGACTATCAGGCTCAATTTGAAGCTTCGTGTTTGACGACCTCCTTCGAATCACAGGACTATCTGGAGGAGGTGGGATTCCCGCATCTCCAAATTCGTCATCGACTTCACCGAGGTCTCCCAAAATCGGCTCCCACCCCGGAAACCCCCCGACTCTATGGAACCCGAGTGAGCTCCCCCCACCTGAGCTGTAACTTCCAGACCACGAGATGACAGATGTACGACTAACCGCATCCACTGAATCGCTGTCCGAGTGTGACTCGTGAGAAATCTTGGAAATATCGGTTCCCATGCTTCTGAACGTCGGAGGATCCTGCTGTAACAATAAAGTAAAAATAAAAATTGAGCTTTCTGCCTATCGATGTAGATGTGTATAAGAGCTGTTAGATTAGCCAAGTTACTCCATTTTGAAATTTTTTTCACACATTTTGGACTTTTTATTTTCAAAAATCCAAAGAGCCTAAAATTTTCAAAACAGTTTCATATAAATCCTTAAAATCATGTTCCAAGGTATCAAGAAAATTAAGAAAGCAAATAAAAAGGACAGCAGTTTGAGTTAAGTAAAATAATGTGGAGCTCTATTTAGCAGCTTAGCGTAGATAAAGAGTCATTTTGTGAGGGCAGCAGCTTCTGAGCCCAACTACCAGGCAAATGAAAAAATGATGATAAACTCAAAGAAGCATAAAAAATCTTCAAACAAATGAGCTGTGGGCTTTTTAAGCTTCCGGAATAATTGTTCCGACTTTCGAAGAATTTGCGGAGTATTTACAAAAATTATTTCTCTGTGCATCATGAAGCAACGCATTTGTTGTTTTTTCTTACTCTCTTTGCAAAAAATAACATAAAATTGGCATTCTATAATTTTATTTCTATGTATTTGATGAACCAACGCATTCATTCTAAACATGAAAGGTATATTCTACAAAATTAGTTTCTCTGTGCCTCATGAATAAACACATCAATTATATTTTTGACGCAGTCAAAAGATAGCGTTAAATCGATATTCTAAAGTGTTACTTCAATGTATCTCATGAATCAACGCATTCATTTTTTTTTTGATAATACCATTATTCTAAACCAAGAAAAAAAACCTTCAGCAGATATTCTAAAAGTATTTTTTTCTAGGTAATTGATGAATGAACGCATTTTTTGTTGTTTAATCACTTTCAAAAGTGTCAGAAAAACTACGAATCCGTTGATTTATGACGTACAGAGGAAAATTTTTTGTAGAATATGTATTTAGTGTTTTAAATAGATATTCTACAAAAATTATTTCTCTGTGCCTCATAGATCAACGCATTCGTAGTTATGTTGACACTTTAAAAAGATAACATTAAAATAACAATTTATAACAATTTTTCTATGTATCTGATGATTCAACGCATTCATTGTTGTTTGGACGCTTTCAGAAAATTAAAATTAACAAAAATTCTGAATTTTTTTCTATAAACCTGATGACCTAAAAATTTCATTTTTGCTTGAACTTATTCAAAAGAATAACTCTAAACGGATACTCTAAAAACTTTATTTCTATGTGCCTGATGAATGAAGGTATTTAATGTTGTTTGGACAATTTCAAAAGCAAACTTAAACAGATATTCTAGAGAATTTATTTCTTTCTGCCTCATGAATCAAGTCATTCGTTGTTACTTTCGAAAACTAGCACTAAAGCATTATTCCATTGTTTTTACATATCTGATGAATCAACGCATTCATTGTTCTTTGGAAACTTTCAAAATGTAACAATGAACAGATACGGTGCAAATTTTGTTTCTCTTAGACGGGTATTCTACACACTTATTTTCTCTGCGCTTGATGATTCAAAGCAATAGTTGTGTTTGAACACTTTAAAAAAACAATAAAAGAGTGTTCTGAATTTTTTTCTATCTATTTGATGCTTCAACAATTTCAGTTTTGTTTGGACTTTTTCAAAAAAAAATTTTTAACGGATACTCTGACAAATTTATTCCTTTCTATCTGATGAATCAAGGATTCATTTTTGTTTAGAAACTTCTGATAAATAATCTTAAATTGATTTTCTTCAAATTTTACCCTCTACGCTTCATGAATCAACGCAATCATTGTTTTTTGACCCTTTAAAAGATAACAATAAACCATTATTTTGTATTTTTGTTGCGTACTTGATGAATCAACGCAATCATTGCTGTTTGAACACTTTCAAAAGATAACAATAAACAGATATGCTAACATTTTGTTTCTCTGTACCTTATGGATCCCTTTTAATTATTAGACCCCTTCAAAAAAACCGTAAGCGGTTATTCTAAAAATTTTATTTCTGTGTACCTGATGAAACAACGCATTCATTGTTGTTTGGGCACTTTCAAAAATTAACAAACTTCGAAAATTCTGGAAAAAACTGTTCTTTGTACCTGATCATTTTTGCTTGGAAGTTTTTAAAAAATAACCGAAAACGGATATTCTAAAAAGTAAGTTCTATGTATTTGATGAATCAACGCATGTTTGGAAATTTTTTAAAAAGAAATATAAATAGTTATTCCACAATTTTTGTTCTTTGTGCCTCAGGAAGCAACGCATTCATTGTTTTTTTGACACTTCAAAAGATAGCGTTAAGTTGATATTCTTGAAATTTCTTATTTACTTGATGAATCAAAACATTCATTCTTATTTGGACGGTTTCGAAAAAAATTAAACGGAGTTTCTACAATTTTTTTTTCTGGACCTGATGAAATAATGCAATCATTATTTTTATTTTGACACTTTCAAAAGATAACAATAACTATTATTCTACAATTTATTTAGTACCTCATGAAACAACAAATTCCTTGTTGTTAGGTTAATTTTGAAAGAAAATTTTAATTTTAGATGGGTATTCTACAAACTTTTTTTTCAATGTGCCTGATGAATCAACGCATTCAATAGTATTTGGATACTTTCAAACGATAACGATAACTTTTGCTACAAACTTTGTTTCTCGGTAGCCGAAGAATCAACAATTTCTTTAAATTCTACAATTGAAAACAATAAACCAATTTTCTATGATTTTTTATTATGTGACTCCTGATGAATCAACGCATTCCTTGTTGTTTGGACCCTTTCGAAAAAAAAAGTTCAAAAGGATATTCTACAATCTTTTTTCTCTGGGCGTGATGAATTAATGCGTTCATTATTATTTCAAAGATAAAACTAAACGGATGTTTGCCAAATTTTTTCTCTGTACTCCATGAATCAAAATATTCATTGTCATTTTGTCAAAAAAAAACATTAAACCGATATTCTGTATTTTTTCTATGTAACTGATGAATCAACTATTTCATTTTTGTTTGAAAACTTTCAAAAAACAACAATAATTATATGTTTTGCAAACAGTTTTTCTTTCTATGTACCTGATGATTCAACAAATTCATTGTTGTTTGGACACTTTCAAAAGAAAACGTTAAATGGATATTCTACAAATTTTATCTCTGTGCCTCATGAATCAACGCAACCATTGTCATTT